CAGAAAAGTAGATACGTCAAAAACCAGATTACAATAGATATCATTTCGCTGCACATTTTAGTCTATTTTCTGTATACACAGTCACACATTCTTCGCCTCTCCCAACTTACACATACTTTATCCCCCCAATTATGTGCTATGTAGGTATGAAAAAATAAAGTTGTATCTAAACAAATGATTAAAAAAAAACTAACGAATGCCACGATGATAACGCTGAACTTGTTTCCCTCTTGAGGGACTTTGGAAATGTTACTGAGGTTCACTTTCCCCACCCCTAAATCATCTTCCTCCATGTAGACAGGGATGAGAAGTCAAAGTCTTCATCAAGGTCAAAAGCCATATGCTACAGAAAAAGTAGCTTACTCCACAGAAGTTACATGAGATGCTTTGGAAGCGCTTAGGTTAATGCCTTCACAGTGTTTGCTAGGATGTCAATTTTGGTGGAGCTGCTGAGTCAGAAAATGATAGAGGCCAGGTACGCTCACGCCTGCAATCCCAGCACTTTGGGAGGCCGAGGCGGGAGGATTACCTGAGGTCAGAATTTCGAGACCATCCTGGACAACATGATGAAACCCCTGTCTCTATTAAACAAAAAAAAAAAAAAAAAAAAGAAAGAAAGAAAGAAAGAAAGAAAGAAAGAAAGAAAGAAAAAATTAGCCAGGCATGGTGGCAGGCACCTATAATCCCAGCTATGTGGGAAGCTGAGGCCCGAGAATCACTTGGACCTGGGAGGCGGAAGTTGCAGTGAGCCAAGATCGTGCCAGTGCACCCCAGCCTGGGCAACAAGAGTGAAACTCTGTCTGGAAGGAAAGAAAAAAAGAAAATGATAAGGGCTGGGCGTGGTGGCTCACGCCTGTAATCCAAGCACTTTGGAGGCCAAGGTGGGCGGATCATCTGAGGTCAGGAGTTCAAGACTAGTCTGACCAACATGGTGAAACCCCGTCTTTAAAAAAAAAAAAAAAAAAAAAAAAAGAAAAGAAAAGAAAATGATAAAACATTCCAGATGAAGTCTGATCAGAACCATGCTTTTAGGGCAGGTGTGGTGGCTCATGTCTGTAATCTCAACACTTTGGGAGGCCGAGGTGGGAGGATGGCTTGAGTCCAGCAGTTCAAGACCAGCCTGGGCAACATAGGGAGACCCAGACTCTACAAATAATTTTAAAATTTGTTGGGTGTAGTGGCACAAATCTGTGGTCCCAGCTAGTTGGGAGACTGAGGCAGGAGGATCACTTGAGCCCAGGAGGTCGAGGCTATAGTGAGCTGCGATTTGGCCACTGCACTCCAGCCTGGGCAACAGAGCGAGATCCTGTTTCAAATAACAAAAACAAAAACCTGTGTTATTGGTAGTGGAAATGGTATAAGCTCAAAGAAGCTTGCACCGCAAATCCAGCCACCAATCATCATTGTAAAGGCACGTGCTAGGATACCAATAACCCCCGAAAATTAATTTAAATATACAAATAAAAGAGATCCACTCATAACCTGGGAGGAAAAAAAAAAATAGAAACAAGTTATTCTGCAATCCTTCCTTATTAGTCATCTGCAAAGTCCGACAGAGCCGAGAGGTTCACCCCAACACCAGGAGGGAAATGCCAACAACGTTGATGTAGGACCTGACTCAAAAAGAACAGCTCCGAGATCAAGCAACCTCCTGAAGACTGTGAGTTAAGTGTTATCTGTGGCTGTGTTATTTTTTTTTTTTTTTAGTTTGTTTCTACAATAAAGCTTAGCTCTGAGAAATAAAGATGATCTGAAATATCACAGCCCCAAGTATATATAACACTACCATATCCAACACAAAAAATATGACTTTATACATACTTGGGGTATTAACTGTGTAAGGCAGTGGTCGCAAACTGGTGGCCCCCAGACTCAAACAAATGTTTGGCCCACGTGGTGTTTTGGACATTTTAAAAATCAGCAAGTTTCGATTTTCAAAAAAAAAAAAAAAATCCTGATTTGCAGCTTTTTGCCCCGTTTTTTTCCTGCATGGCTGAGCAATGGCCCCCTCCTTGAAGGTGGGCACTGCTTCCCCCCCACCCCACTTCCCACCCTTGTTTCTGCAGGCTGCTGAGTTTGCGACCGCTGGTTGAAAACAGAACTAAAAACATGTTTCCTAACCCAAACCTCTCTCACACCCTCATGCAATTATTTCCTCCTTCCCTCTCTTGCTTCACTTTCATCTTAAGTCCTCCTTCTCGAATTCTTTGAATTTCTCTTGGTTCACTCAAATTCTCCCTTCTCTCAGCTTCAGTTTCATTTTGCAAAAGAAACATCTCCGTTCAGCCCACGATCATTCCAGGAAGGCTCCCAAGACTGGTCAGTGGGAGTTACTGAAGGGTGTCTCGCCGCAAAATGACTGAGTCATCTTCCCCAAAAACATTTTCCTCTGGCACTGGCTGGACAATTTTTTTTTTCTTTTTGCTGTTGTTACTGTGGAGCCTATTTGCATGAGACTATTTGCATATATGAATCTCCAGTACCAAGCATACACCAAAAATGTGTACATTTCAGATGAAGGACATGATGGAGCCCTAATAAAATACAGAATTGAGCTTAATTTAAGTGTCTTGGGCAAACATCATGCCTGGCTAATATGCCATATTATTTCCGTTGTACACAGTACATGTTTTGGTTTACTGAACATTGATCAAAATTGATCGACATCTGTAAGTTTTGGTTACCATGTACAGAGAACAATTGCTTAGCATGGCATTTAAATAAAACAGTAATATTTTAAAAATTCAAAAACACAATGCCCCATTTATTTTAAAAAAATAAAATTTAAAAACCTTGAGGATGGATGAGGCTTTGGGTAATTAACCAGAAAAAATATATAACAAAAAAACTACAAGAACAGAATATGTTACCAGATTTATACTTTAAAACACTATTAAAAGAAAAACTCACTGACACAGCTAGAAATATTTCTAAAATTCAGCTTTTTAAAGCTTATATTTTAATTTTATTCTTTCAAGACAGAGTCTCGCTGTTGCCCAGGCTGGAGTGCAGTGGTGTGATCTCAGCTCTCTGCAACATTTACCTCCCAGGTTCAAGCGATTCTCCTGCCTCAGCCTCCCAAGTACCTGGGATTACAGGCGCCCACCACCACGCCCGGCTCATTTCTGTATTTTTTTTAGTAGAAATGGGATTTAACCATGTTGGCCAGGTTGGTCTTGAACTCCTGACCTCAGGTGATTCAACCCCCTCGGCCTCCCAAAGTGCTGGGATTACAGGCATGAGCCACTGCGCCCAGCCTTAAAGCTTTATAATCCTTCCAACATTATGTCCCCCACTGTAGAGACTAGTAGACAGTGAATACAGGGGAAGTTGTAGTTGAGTATGGAATGAATATATATATATATATATATATATATATATATATATATATCGTGTGTATGTGTGTGCATATATATATATATATATATATATATGATCTACTCTTGGCATTTATTTTTAAAACTAATTTTAAAAAATACTGTGCAGTTACTATCTTTGGATAAAGTTGGCAGACTGACTCTTTTTGCACAATGCAGTACCTTATGACCTAACATTGACCTCAAAAGCTAGAAATGACCTTTGCGGGGAACTGTCCCCGCAAACCTCAAAGAGACAGCACAACGTTGCAGCTGTTTCTCTTTCAGCCCCAGGTCCCAAAGGATATAAGAAGCCAATGCAGCTTTGAGGAGAAGGATTCCCTGTAAATCACTCACTCACAATGATTTCCCACAGTGGCCAAGTAGATCCCCTCAAGAAAGAAGGTTCACAGAGTCCCCTCAAAAGAGCTTAGAAATTCAACAATGGTTCTATTCACATAGCCATTTCTGTCTTCCAAATTTTAGCTTTAAGAGTCTAAGGAAGTACATGTTTTTATTTAGGGGAAAAAAAAAATCTCAATGCATAACACTTGGACCGGCTGTATTTCAAATCAGGCAAGCAGAGGCTAGACAGTGCTGAACTTAAAAAAAAAAAAAAAAAAAAAAAAAAAAAAAACACGCAACTGAGAGTGTTATAAATTTGGTAGGACAAGGAAGGAAGGATTCCAGGACAGGCTCCTCCCAGCTGCAAAATACACCCAACCTGGTGATACTGACACCTACAGAGAAAGGAGACAGACTGCTATCAAGGGCTGTCTCCCTTGCTCTTTTCCTAATTTGTCTCCTCTGCCCACCACCAGGGAGAACCTGATCTTCAAGCACAGAGCCCAAGATACTGAACTCTAAGTGAAATGTTTTGGAAAACCTGTGTTGGATCAACAGGTCCTTGAACTTGGCCTCTTGGGAACACCTAAGGCTGCCTGGACAAGGAAGAACCATCAAGGGTTAGAGACTGAGCACAAACTACAAGCTAAGCAGCAGGCATTTCCTCTTCATTAGCTCATAAAGCTCAGAAAGAAATCTTTGTGAAGGTGTTTGCTTAAAACCTTAAAATTAAAAAGGCTATTGTCTCCAGCCAGCAGCCAGCCTCGGAGAAACACCTTTATAGGGAAAGCCTAAAACACATTTTTCTCCAAAGCCAACATTTTTATGCCTTCGCCAGTGTTGTCTTGAAGATGTATTTGGTTGCTGCTTTGCACGGTGTCTGGCTGGCAGTAGGTAGCTCAATGACTGGGTGTTGACTGACTGGTACATATCCCAGCTTGTGGCCGGTGGGGATGTTAGGCTAGCATGTTGGCCACTCTTCAAGGCTGCACATTTATTAATAAGAAACCTAACTGGCCTCCCTTTCAGATGCAACGCTTGGTGCTAGCAATTACCACAAAATGAGTGAATTCATCAATATAAAGTGCTATTTTCTCTGGAAGTTTCTCTAACCGACTCTCGACTGCCTTTCCATATGTGTGACTTAATTTTTTGACAATCTTGTCAAACACTTGTGATTGCACCATTTTAAAAATACATTAATATTAATTTGAAGTGGAAATTATGTTCCTCTGAACATTAGCCCCGAAAATAGAACTTGAATTCCAGTTGCAGATCAAGATTCAGATTTTTCTTTTCAAAGTCAATCAGGAACCCAGTACCTAGCAAGTAATTGTGTCAAAAACTTTAGTTTTTTTTGTTTTTTTTTTTTAATTTGGGCAGAGAGATCTGTGTCTAAAAGCCAAAAGAAGAAACTTTCCCTGCAGCTAATTCTTGCTTCTTCTACTGGACTTCTCTAAAAGCCATACCCTTCCACAGAATCCACCCACACAAAACCACGTTTGAACCAATTCTTGGGGCTGCAGTTGGATGTCTTCCCCTAGTTTGTCCAGAACACTCTAGTGGGTGTGAAGATGTCATATTATATTGGACTGTGAAGTGAGGAAGTGATATTTAAGCCACTAAAGCTTGAGGCAGCCACCAAATTTTCCACTGCCTTCTGTAATCTTGCATTTAACTGGCCTCACCACCATTCCCACCCCCACCCAGTGGGAAAAGGTTTAGGAGCATTTGGTCAGGTGGAGGTGCTGTCAGGGTTTACGGTTCACCTTCAAGGAAGCCCTGGGTGCGCTGACTCCGGGGTGGGGGGCACCTGGCAAGGTAGCGGGGACCCCCGTAGGCCCGGAGAAGCTGGGGTAGCCTTTGCCACGTGGACAACAACCGCGCTGCTGCAAGTTCCCGGGCGTGGCCGTCGAAAGCAGCCAGGAGGTCAACTGGGGCGGCTTCCCGTAGTACCTTGGGCAGGGGGCCCACCTCGGCAGCCGCCCCCCCAGGGCCCAGGACGCAGTGGAAGAGCGTATGGTGTCGCAGCAGGCAGTCCCTAAGGAACTGCACCAACTCCTCCAAACACTTTCCCAGGTGCTCCTCATCCCAGCTTTGTCCAGGGGCCTCCTTGCGCAGCAGCACTGCCAGCAGCACTGTCTTGAGCACATAGGAGGACAGGATGCGTCCCCACTGGGTGGCGGCCGCTGAGTCCAGCCCACGGGCGCCCAGATCTCGCAGAGCCTTAAGCAACTGCAGGCACTTGAGGTAGCAGGCACCTGGAGCTGCCCGTTCCTGCAGCCAACTCAGCAGCTTCTGCTCCTGGCGAGCTGTATTCACACCCCAAAGTGCCTCCGAGCGCAGGCCCCCAGGGAGCTCCAACAGGAGCCCGCTGGGCAAGGGTGGCGGTGGGGGCGCCACAAGGAAGACGCCATCTCCCAGATGGACAGCGGGAATGAGGCGCACAGCCATGGAAAGGCGGCAGCAGCCGTAGTCAGTGCGGCAGGGCAGGATGTGTAACGTGGGGGGCTGCTCCAGGCCACCCGGGGTCAAGGTGACCCGACAGCGCCCCTCCAGGCTGTAACGCACAGTGGCCAAAGAGCGCTGCAGATGCGACTGGAACCAGCGCAGCACCAGAGCAGCAGAGAGGTGGCGCCGCCCGCGCACATCCACACAGAAGCCATCAGCAAAGGGTTTGCAGTCCCGAAGCCAGTGGGCCCCCGAGGCCCCAGAGGGTGAGGGTGGTGCCTTAAGGGCGCACACGAAGCAGCCGCGGAAGGCTGGGGCCAGCGCTAGCTCCTCGCCCAGGCTCCGTGGGTCCAGCGCCACCAGCGGTGGGAGGCGCAGTGGCACCAGCACATCGAAGCTGTCGGGCCGGCGGATTTTATGTTGCTCGTAGGCGCTGCCCACCTGGATGAAGTCTCCGCGGAAGGCCAACGCCAGCGCTCCCCCGGGGATGAGGCCGGGGGATCCCCGGGAGCGGCCAGCCCGCACCAGCTCGCCCACGATCCGGCTCACGTGCGCCTTGCTGTGGCCCAACACGTGCGGAGACAGGCGCACCTCGTGCTCGTAGTAACTCTCCAGCAAAATGCTGAGGCCCGGCTCTCGGAAGTGTCTCGAGGAGAAGGTGGCGTGGCCCCCCAGACGGGGAGACCCGGGCAGGAAGCGCTGCCGGACAGCGTGGCGACAGCGCAGGAGGACGTAGCTGAGGAGGAGCAGGACCGCCACTTTGAGCAATGGGAAACCCCCGTCCACGCCGTCGGGGGGCTCGGCCCGGGCGCCCCAGCTTCCCCACAGGACATGGTAGAGGCACACCAGAGCGGTGCACAGGCCGGTCACCAGGGGCCAGAAGACGCGTAGATTGAGGGTGTAGTGCACCGACATGCCGTGCGCCCGGGGCCGCGGTGGCCGAGCAGCCCAGGGCGCGAGCCCCGGCGGCGCCCCCAGCCCAGCATGCGCACAGCGCCTGGACGGCCCCGCTGTCCCTGTCTCCTCCTCCGCGGCGAATTCCCGATCGCAGGCCCGCGGGAAACCGCCCTCCAGCTCGGCCTCCTCTCCCAGCTCAAGTGTTCCTTCCAGCTGCGGCCCGCCCTGCGCTCTCCGGCCCCGGGCCGCGCCCTGCCCCGGCGGCGCGCAGCGTCCGGCCCAGCGGCCCTCCCCGCCCGGCGTCTCCGCGCGCCGCCCTCTGCCAGCTTCTGGCCTGGCTGGCCTCCTACCCAAGGCAGCCCTCCTGGCTCTCCCGCCGCTCCTGTCTCCGCGCCTGATCCCGTTACTCGGACCCCGAGAGTTTCCTCTTCCGAGGGGGAGGCGAGGACGCGCCAACTAGCGGGGAGGAAATGCCGGAGTCTGGAGTGGAGCGTGGAGCTGGCGGGCGGGGTCGGAGTCTGGAGTGGAGCGTGGAGCTGGCGGGCGGGGTCGGAGTCTGGAGTCGAGCGTGGAGCTGGCGGGCGGGGTCGGCCCCCTCCCGGGCCTCCGCCTTAAAGCGACGCGGGGCGGCGGGAGGGACTTTAGGACGCGCTTGGAGCTGGCCTCCAGCGGCCCATCCCCATCCTCCCTCCCCGAAGGCAGAACTGGGAAGGCACTGATTCCGGGGCGGTGGCCTCCTCCTGGGAGCCTCTGGAGTTGCGCTCCCTTGAGTTATACTGGGAAGTTGAAAAGGAGAAGGCGCAGAGCCGGACTGTCCAATCCTCCCCACCCCCACCGCAAGAGCCGTGGTGGCGTGGCAGGCTCTGGCACAGGAGTGGCCCTTGCCGTCGGCCGCTGTCCTCTGTTCAAACCACTATTCACCGAGCACCTACCATGTGCCAGGCTGGAGCCCCTGTGCTGGGGAAATCACAGTTGACAAGATGGACAAGGTTTCTGTCCTTCGTAAAGCATAAGCCTTGTAAAAATGGGAATCAAAAAAGGGAATGGGCCGGCCGCGGTGGCTTACGCCTGTAATCCCAGCCCTTTCGCAGGCCGAAGTGGGCAGATAACGATGATTTGAGGTCTGGAGTGCGAGACCAGCCTGGTCAACATGGTGAGACCCCCCACACACACACACACCACCACCATCACCCATCGCTACTAACAATACAAAAATCAGCCAGGCATAGTGGTGCATGCCTGTAATCCCAGCTACTCAGGAGGCTGAGGCAGGAGAATCGGTGGCACCCAGGAGGTGGAGGCTGCACGCAGTGAACTAAGATGGCGACACTGCACTCCAGCCTGGGTGACAGTGAGACTCCGTCTCAAAAAAAGGGGTGGTGGGGGGGAAGGATTCCACAGCAAGAAAACGCTCTAAAATAAACAAAACTGCATGAGGGAGTGAGAAAGTGGTGGCTGCCTCACTGAAAGGGAGGATGACAGATTGACCCCGGTAACCCCAGCACTTTGGGAAGCCGAGGCAGTGAGCAGATCGCTGGAGTGAGGCCAGGAATTCGAGGCTGCAGTGAGCTATGATCACATCATTGCGCTCCAGCCTGACTGACAAAGCAAGACTCTGGTCTCTGAAAAATAAGATAAATAAAATAATTTTCCCAGTGGAGGAAAGGGGCACAGACAGGTTCAGCTCAGGCAGGCTCAGCTGCTCCCCAACCTCCACCTCCCACACACAAGGTTACACAGCTTTTGTGGAGCTGCGCCTTGAGCCGTGGCATCTGGCTCTAGAGAAGCCAAGGGGAGCTAGTTTTGTTTCATAACAGGGAGCACTTCCTGAAATAATCTGATCTATTTAAATAATTTTCTTTATGCACAGTCATTATACCTCCTTTGCTCGCACTGACGTTTAAAGAGAGCAAGGGTGAATATACTAAAACATGTTAGAGCCCAGCTGCCACCTGGGAACCAGGACTCAAAAGATGGCTCCCGGGTTACTCCCAAGAAATCCTAAATTGGGCCGCTGAGAGCTAAGCAGATCTTGCCTTCAGATCCCATCTACTACTATTAGCTACTAGATCATCGTCTACTGGTCAAGATTCTTCAGGTTTCAAGTGACAGAAACACAGCTCCAACCAGCTTAAGCACCCATGTTACTGTATCATGTTAACTGAGATCCATGAGGAGATTTCAGGTACAGCTGGATCTAGGTGCTTCAGGGCTATGCAGACATGTTCTCCTTTCACTACTTAGCTCTGCTTTTTAAGTGGGTTGTACTCTCTATAGGTCCTCTCTGTATGCCCTTGGCTGCTCTAGTCTCACCTTGTCTTAAGTGCAGAGGAAAAGAGAGCTTTTACTTTTCTTTCTTTTTTTTTCTTTTTTTTTTTTTTTTTTTTAGACAGAGTCTCACTCTATCCCCCAGGCTGGAGTACAGTGGAGAGATCTCGGCTCACTGCAACCTCCACCTCCTGGGTTCAAGTGATTCTTGTGCCTCAGCCTCCTGAGTAGCTGAGATTACAAGGCACATGCCACCACACCCAGCTACTTTTTGTATTTTTAGTAGAGGTGGGGTTTCAGCATGTTGTCCCAGCTGCTCTCAAACTCCTGACTTCAAGTGATCTGCCCAACTCAGCCTCTCAAAGTGCTAGGATTACAAGTATGAGCCACTGTGCCTGGCCAGAGAGGCTTGCTTTTCTAAAAGCTGTAGTAAATGCCATGACTTGGGATAGTTTTGGGTCGTATGCTAAAAAGCAAGGGAACGCCCACCATCACACCGGGCTAATTTTTGTATTTTTAGTAGAGACAGGGTTTTACCATGTTGGTCAGGCTGGTCTCAAACTTCTGACCTCATGATCCACCCACCTCAGCCTCCCAAAGTGCTGGGATTATATGCATGAGCCACCGCACCTGGCCTAATTTTTGTATTTTTAGTAGAGACAGGGTTTCACCATATTAGCCAGGCTGGTCTAGCGATTTTGGATTTTCTTTTTTTTTTTTTTTTTTTTAAGTTGCATTTTAGGTTTTGGGATACATGTGAAGAACATGCAAGATTGTTGCATAGGTACACACATGGCAGTGCGATGGGCTGCCTTCCTCCCCATCACCTATATCTGGCATTTGTAACCTTCAGAACTCTGAGAAAATAAATTTCTGTTGTTGGGTCCACCCAATCTATGGTATTTGTAGAGGGAGGCTAAGCTGAGTAATACAGTTGGGTACCCAACCCTGGAACCAAGAGGTGGAGTCGCCCTGTTCAAACTGTAAGAACTGTGGGAAGGGGTTTCTCTCCCCCAAGAAAAGTCATGGTGCTGTGGCTGGTAGAATTTGGTATGCAGAGATGATAGCTGGCCATTTCATTTGGATAACTCTCTTAATCTATCTTTGCTTCTGTCTCCCCATCTATAAAGTGGGGTGCTGCCAACAGAGTGGTTTATTTTTCCCCTGTCAGATAGAGTGGTATGCTATCTCCAACTGTACAGATAATGACAACTCTCTAGGTCAGAGTTGGCAAGCACTTTTTTTTTTTTTTAAAGAAACAGGTCTTGCTCTGTTGCCTAGCCTGGAGTACAGTAGCAAAATCACAGCTCACTCCAGCCTTGAACTTCTGGGCTCAAGGAATCCTCCTGTCTCAGCCTCCCAAGTAGCTGGAATTACAGGCATGCATCACTACACCTCACTAATTTTTTAATTTTTTGTAGACATGGGGTCTCACTAAGTTGCCCAGGCCGATCTTGAACTCCTGGCCTCAAGCAATCCTCCTGCCTTGGCTTCCCAAAGTGCTGGGATTACAGGCATGAGCCACCATGCCCAGACACACACTTCTTGTAAAGAGCAACGAAGTAAATATTTTCGGCTTGGGTGTCGTAAAATCTCTACTACAACAGAGCTGGGTTTGGACTGTTGCTTGGCAGACTTTGGCTTGCACTCGTACAAAAATAATTGTGGTTTTTGCCATTACTTTTAGTACTAATAGCTGCAACTCTCTAATATCTGCCTCTGTCTTTATTTGGCCTTTTTCCCTGTGCATATTTCTAGGTCTCTGTATCCAAATCTTCCCCTCCTTTCTTGTATAAGGACACTGTTCATTGAATTTAGGGCACACCTTCATTCATGTTAACTTGATGACCTCTACAAAGACCTAAATGAGGCCACATGCACACATCCAGGAGTCAGGTTCTGAACCTACCTTTTAGGGAGACACAATCAGCACACTACCGCAGCTAGAGATGATCTGCCAATGAATGGATGGGGCTGTTCCCATCAAATTTATTTATGGATGCTGAAATTTGAATTTTGTAAGATTTTCATGCGTCATGAAATACACTTCTTTTGATATTTTTCAACTGTTTAAAAATGTAAAAACCTGGCCAGGTATGGTGACGCACTTCTGTAATCCCAGCACTTTGGGAGGCTGAGGTGGGTGGATCACAAGGTCAGGAAATCGAAACTATCCTGGCCAACATGGTAAAACCCGTCTCTACTAAAAAGACAAAAATTAGTTGAACATGGTGGCGTGTGCCTGTAATCCCAGCTACTCAGGAGGCTGAGGCAGGAGAATCACTGGAACCTGGGAGTCAGAGGTTCCAGTGAACTGAGACCTCGACACTGAACTCCCGCCGACTCTGTCTCAAAAAAATAAATAAATAAAATAAATGTTAAAACCTGCTGGGAACAGTGGTTCACGTCTGTAATCTCAGCACTTTGGGAGGCCAAGGTGGGAGTTCAAGACCAGCCTGGGCAACACAGTGAGACCCTGTCTCTACAAAACAAAACAAAACAAAACAAAACATCTAGCTGGGTGTGGAGGTGCACACCTGTAGTCCCAGCTACTCAGGAGGCTGAGGCAGGAAGATCATCGGAGCCTAGAATGTCCAGGCCGCAGTGAGCTGTGAACTATGATCACACCACTGGTGTGATCCAGCCTGGACGACAGAATGAGACCCTAACTCTAAAAAAATATAAAAACCAATCTCAGCTTGAGGGTCATACAAACACGCTCAATGTACCTTGGGTAATTAGCTTCCTAGGGTTTCTGTAACCAAATACCACAAACCCAGTGGTTTAAACAATATAAATGTATTCTCAGAATTCTCAAAAGGAGGAATCTGAAATCAAGGGATCTGCAGGGCTGTGCTCTCTTTGGAGGCTCCAGGGGAGAATCCCTCCTTGCCTCTTGCCCCTTCAGGGGGCTGCAGGCACTCCTTGGCTTGTGGCTACCTCACTCTCAACTTCTGCCTACAACCTGTGTGGCTTTCTCCTCTGGATCGGAGACTTCTCCTTTTCTGTTTCTTTTCTTTTTTTGAGGCAGTTTCTCATTCTGTTGCCAGGCTGGGCTGGAGTACAGGGAGTGATCATGGCTCTCTGCATCCTCGACCTCACCTCCTGGGCTCAAATGATCCTCCTGCCTTAGCCTCCTTGAATAGCTGTGACTACAGGTATGCACCACCATGCTCAGCTAATATTTTATTTTTGTACAGATGGGGTCTCACGGTGTTACCCAGGCTGCTCTCGAACTCCTGGACTCAAGCAATCCTCCCATCTCTGTCTCCCAAAGAGCTAGGATTACAAGCATGAGCCACTGTCCCTGGCCTTCTGCTGCTTATTGGGACACCTGTCATTGGATTTAGAACCCACTTGGGTAATCTCATTGATCTCAATGGAGAGCTGTAATTTAAGGATCCTTAAAGATTTTTTAACT